CTCTTATCACAATCCATACATGCATCCACTGTGTAAAGCGCATTTGTACATTTGTTGCCATCATCATTTTCAAAACATTTTCTTTCTACTTGAGCCCTTGGTATCGGCTTCTCATTTTTTCCCCTCCCTCTTCCACCCTCCCCAAACTCTTGATAAATTTATAAATTATTATTTTTCCATGTCTTACACTGACTGATGGCTTTTATAGAGGTTTAAATATAGGCATGTACATATATAAATATATATATAAAACTATAGGGAATTATATTTTGTACATATATTTATATGTTAAGTATCAAGGTAGCAGATGGACATTGGGCCTCTACTCAAGTACTCCCTCAATGCAAGAACACTTTGTTCTAATAACCTGGCATTCCATGATGCTCACCTTCCCGACACAATAGCTGAAGACAAACTGGGTGCACAGCAAATGTGAAGAAAGCTGATGATGCCCGGCTATCAAAAGATATAGCATCAGGGGTCTTAAAGGCTTGAAAACAAACAAGCGGTCATCTAGCTGAGAAGCAACAAAGTTCACATGGAAGAAGCACACCAGCCTGTTGATCATGAGGTGTTGATGGGATCAGGTATCAGGCATCAAAGACCCAGAACAAAAAAATCATAGCAATGTGAATGAAGGTGAGTGTAGAGTGGAGACAGACCCAAAACTCACCTGTAGACAATTGGACATCCCCTTACAGAAGGGTCACAAGGAAGAGATGAGCCAGTCAGTGTGCAGTGTAGCATCGATAAAACATACAACTTTCTTCTAGTTCTTTAATGCTTCCTCCCCCCAACTCTCATGATCCCAATTCTACCTTACAAATCTGACTAGACCAGAGCATGTACACAGGTACAGATAGGAGCTATTTAACTTCATAGCACCTCCAAATGAGGTTATCAAGCTGTAACCTGATTGACAGGCTAAACTCCACCTTTTCACTCTTTTTCGCCCCCTGGCAAATGTTGTTTTATTCCATTGTCATATCTTTTACAATTTCATTAATTTAACTTCTTTTTTTAAAGATCATTTTATTGGGGGCTTAAACAACTCTTATCACAATCCATACATGCATCCATTGTGTGTCAAGCACATTTGTACATTTGTTGCCCTCATCATTCTCAAAACATTTGCTTTCTACTTGAGCGCTTGATATCAGCTCCTCACTTTCCCCCTCCCTCCCCACTCCCCCCCTCTCATGAACCCTTGATAATTTATAAATTATTATTTTGCCCTTCACTCTTAATAGTCTTAAATTGACACCAGATTATGTAACTACCACGATAAATTTTTTTTGTATTAAATACTTTTATCGGGGGCTCTTACATCTCTTATCACAATACTTACCACAATAACTTTCTGTATTGCTGCCTGGGCTATTTTACCTGGATGGCCATATGAACAACTCTGCCTTAAGGCATGGAGTAGATTGCTTGTGTTTCACAAATGCTACTGCTTTATCTGACCTTAATGGTCAATATTTACATCTTGAGATTAGCTTGTACCTGGAAAGGTACATGACTCCCCTGCACCCCCATGTGCATTCCAGTGTAATTGTGTCTAAACTCTATTCTGATGACAAGTGGGACTCCATTATACACAGACGGTGCTTCTGTTGGAGTCCCTACTGGTGTCTCCTTCTAAATTCTCTGCTCTTCCTTCTTTCTAACTTGGAGCTGTTGAGTTTGGCTCTGCTGCTCCAGGGCAAAAACCCTTTAACTACTTGTTTATTTTCAGTCACACCTTTTAAAATTCAATTGGTGTCTCACTGATTGTCTCACACCTATTTGAAGTCCAAGGAGATTGTGTTTCAAAGCATGAATCAATTACTATTTCATCTGAAATAGAATTTTTGTACCAATATATGGTTAAAAGTTATTTTTATTGTTGCTGTTAGGTGCTGTGGAGTCGGTTCTGACTCCTGAAGACCGGAAGTCCAATAGAACAAAACACCTGCACCATCCCCACAATGGTTCTTATTCATGGGCCCCACTGCTGCAAACTGTCTCAAGCCATCTGGTTGAGGGTGTTTCCCTTTTCTCATGCCCCTCCACTTTTCCAAGCATGATGTCCTTCTCCAGGGACTGCTCTCACCTGACATGTTCCAAGTAGTACATGAGACAAAGTCTCACCATCCTTGCCTCTAAGGAGCATTAATGGCTGTACTCCTTCCAGGATGATTTTCTAATGTAGTTAGCCTATACTCCTCCAATGGTACTATTATAAGTAGTACAACTAAGAATTAATGACAATATAGGATTGTTGGTTCAGCTACACAATGAAAAGTAGGAATGTATAAAATATTTAAATCATGAAAATTCCAACAATATTACTACGTTGGCTTGTGAGATAAGATCACCAATTCACGCTAAAAACCCTCTCTGTGATGGAAATGGTTAACTTGCACAGCAGTTAACTCGAAGAGTGGAAGTCTGATGTCACCCAGAGGTGCCTTGGAAGAAAGGCCTGGTGATCTACTTTTGAGAAAACAGGCATTCAAAAGCCTGTGGAGCACAGTTCCACCTGATCCACTTGGGTTACTATGAGTCAAAGTCAAAGACCATGTCAAAGACCATAGTCCATTGGTGGGAAGTTTTAGTCAACATCTCACGAAACAGCAAACTCATAGAGATCAGCTACAGCTTGCTGACATCACATCTCTGAAACTACATTTCCTCTCAGGGCAGGCAAGGATATCATATTGACTGTGCCAAATCACTAGCATTTATAAGCAGGACTTTTTTGTGTGTGCCTGCTTTAGTTCGAGAAAGCTACAACCGATTTGTTTTACTTGTCAAATTAGCAAAGCCCACAAGAGTAGTACTCAAGAGTGGCAAGAATGTGGAGAGAAGGCAACACCACATGTGAGAAGGCTTCCAAAGACCATGGAAAAATTCATTATCTGATAAACCTATTCTTTCCCAAATTTCTGTAGCCCCCTCATACCGCTGACCACGTAAAGTGTACAATCTAATAGCAGCATGGCAATACTTAAGAACCACTAGACCTTAGAAGATTAAAAAAAATCACTACACCCTTATGCCCAATCATTCCATTTATAGTCAACTGGGACAAGACCGCAACAT